CGGCAGCCACCGGCGCAGAGCATCCGGGTCCTCGGCGGGCCGTGGGGAGGCGGGTGGGCGGCGCGGTGGGGGGCGTCCCGCTCCTTCCTTAACCCCTCCCGGCAGCGTTTCACTCGTGTGTCTGGGGGTTTCTGGTTGTTATTTTTTGTTGTTGTTGTTATAGAAAATAGATCGATAATTCAGAATCATTTAAAATTAAATTTATATGTGTGTGGAGGTTATGACGTGGACTCTTCCTTAAAATGCTTTTAATAGTGGAAAACTTGCACCTCCAATGTGGACTTTTTCTTTTTGTCTTTTTGAGACAGGGTCTCGCCATGCAGTTCAGGCTGGCCTTGAGCTCACTTTGTAGCTCGGGCTGGTCTCGAACTCGCCACGATCCTCCTGCCTCAGCCTCCCGAGTGCTGGGATTACAGGCGTGCGCCACCATGCCCGGCGTCCCATGTGGCCTTTTGAAAAACTTGTGCACAGGTTTTTTTCCTTTTACAGCGTAAAGGAAATCTCGGCTTTGTAAACCGCAGAGGTTATCACATCCTTTTTTGACTTACCTTTTTACAGGTTTAATTATTTACTCAATTTTATCATCATTATAGAGAAATGATAATATCTTTACATTGTGATGTTTTCTTATATCCAGTTCCACGCACCCAATTAAAAAAAATTTTTTTTCAAAGCAAGATGTTTATCACTTGAACTTGACATGAGTGAAATAGCATTTATCCATTTCGTAGGTTTTTTTTTTTTGTTTGTTTGTTTGTTTTGGTCTTTTTGAGACAGGGTCCCACTATGCAGTTCAGGCCGGCCTTGAGCTCACTTTGTAGCACAGGCTGGCCAGGAACTCGCAAAGATCCTCCTGTCTCAGCCTCCCGGAGTGCTGGTATTACAGATGTGCGCCACCACGCCCAGCATTTCATGCTTTTTAAGGTTGGGCATTGAAATAACTTTCTTCCTAAGAAAGTTTTTTTTTTTTTTCTTTTGCAATTCATCTTTAATTGCTGAAGTTAAAGCAATTACCAGGAGTTAAGAAATCAGATACTCAGTTTTTAAAACAGGATCTTTTTTGTTTTTTTAAAATTATTGTTCCTGTATCAGGAATCGAACCCACAACCTTGCGCTTGCCAGGCAGGCACTGTGCCACTGAGCTAAATCCCCAGTCCCAAAAACAGGATCTTTCTTACCACCAGAGCCTGATTTCCTCTAGACTAAGGCTTCCCGTTTTTTTTCCTGGCCTTTGGCCTAAGAACAAATTCAGTCAGTCTAGTGGAAAAAGTCCATGCTTTACACCCTTCCTTGGACCCTGAAGGTCCCTTGTCAAAGAGGAACTTGAATTTCTGGTGAGCAGGGCTTGAAAGATGGTTGAAATGTGCTCTTTTGGGAGGTGGAAGTCATTCCAGACAGAGAAAATAGCATTCATTGAAGGGAGCAGTGATTATGTCAGTGGGCTGAAGTCTGGAAGGGTGAAAGGTGACAGTGGGGAAATAAGGGAAAATTAGAGCTGGATCGTGAAGTGTGAAAGTGTGAGAAGTTTGAAGTTTATCTGTATGCAGGGAGATGACTACAGATGAGTTGGAATGGGGAGAGGTGCTGAGACTCCCTTCCTCCTTGAAGCCAAAAGGAAGTGAAGGCCTGAATGACTTAGGGTGGCGGAGTCAAGGCCTGTCCTGCCAAGTTACTCAGAGAAACTGAAGAGTGCTTGGTGAAAACTGAAACAGCACCTGAGTCTGCGGTCTGTTCGCAGCTTAAGTTGCTGGGGCCAAGCAGGAGTGTGAGCCCGGGTTTGCCAGGTCTGATTTTCAAGAGAACTCAGATACCTAGATTTTGTTACAAAAATTTTCAGTGTTTTAAATGTGAGCTGCTAATTAGAAATCAAAGTAGAAGTGAGGCCAGGCATGGTGACACACGTCTATAATCCCAACACCCGGGAGGCTGAGGCAGGAGGATCTTTGCGAGTTCAAGACCAGCCTGGGCTACAAAGTGAGCTCAAAGCCAGCCTGAATTGTTTAGCGAGACCCTGTCTCAAAAAAAAACAAAAAAAAAGTAGAAGAATGTCTGCAGTGGAATGTTTAACCCCTGGATAGAAATTATGGAACTAAATTGGAGAGATATTAATGTAGGTAGGATTTATTACTCATTTCTCTGTGTTAATTCAGGTGATTGCTGAAGGTGGTACCTGAGGCACATACAAAAAAATATTTTTTTTTTTTTGGTTTTTTTCTCCGGTACCGGGAACCGAACTCACGACCTTGCACTTGCCAAGCAGGTGCTTTTGCCGTTGAGCTAAATCCCCAGCCCCAAAAAATGTTTGATGTTAAATTTGAATAGTGTATACTGCAGCTTTTATGATAAAATCTTCACAGCACTCTGATTTCTTTCAATTAGCCTTTTTCATAGCATTCTATATGCCATGCAGAATTACATCTTTCATGCCTACTTCTTATGAACTTAATTCTGATTTTTCCCCAGAACTTTTGCTACCAGTATTGAATATTTTTTCTTTATATTCTCTAGTTTTAAATTATAAAACCTAATTATGAGTGATCAAATCAAATTCATTGTGGACAATCTCAATAAGGAGCCTTTTAAGAAGAACTATAATTTAATCACCTTTGATTCCCTGGAACCGATGCAGTTATTACAAGTTCTTAATGATGTTCTGGCTGAGATTGACCCAAAGGTAAGAATTTTTTCTTTGTAATTGAGAAATAGCAGGACAGCCAGTTGCTGCCTTTAAATAGCTATGTGTCTTTCCAAAATTACTTAACCTCTCTGGACCTTATTTTCCACACTTGCAAAGTCACAGTAAATGATCTTTAAGGTTTCTTTACCAGCCCAAGGCTTGTTATCAACATGTACCTTATTTAAAAATTACTTCTCTATTTCCAGACTTAAATAGATTTGGTCCCTAATGAAAATGCTTTTATAAAAGGTTTTATTTTATTGCAAGTTAGCTCATGTCTCTCATACACTGGCTTTTCCACCTGGAGACTTTTTTGAGGTTAACATTCTTCATAAGAATCCTGAACTGACTTGTGCGCTCCCTCACCTGGTACTTCATCTGTTTTATGAAGAGGCCATTGTGCGTGTTAGGCCCTAGCAAAATGGTTTTGTCAGTGAGTTTAAATATTGCTCTTTGTTAGATACACAACAATGACATATTTTTCAATTTCTTTATTTGTTAGCAAGTTGTTGATATCAGAGAGGAGATGCCAGAACAGACAGCCAAACGGATGTTGAGCCTTCTTGGTATCCTTAAATACAAACCTCCAGGAAATGCCACAGACATGTAAGAATCTGCTCACGTACTGCCTCTTAAAATCGTGCTTAACTGGGTATGGTGGTGTATGCCTATAATCCTAGCTACTGTACTTGGGAATCTGAGGCAGGAGAATTGCAAGTTCGAGGCCAACCTGAGCAATTTAGCAAAACTCTACCTTAAAGGAAAAAAAACAAAAAAGCCTGGGGATATAGCACAGCCTTTCTTGGGTTTAATCCGTAATATCACACACACAAAACAAAAAAAAGCATATTATACTGGCCAACCTTTATCTACTAAAGTCTTTTTTTTTTAATCTACTGACAGTCTTTTTTTTTGTCTTTTGTCTTTTTGAGACAGGGTCTCGCTGTGCAGTTCAGGCTGGCCTTGAGCTCACTTTGTAGCCCAGGCTGGTCTCCAGCTCACAAAGATCCTCCTGCCTCAGCCTCCTGAGTGCTGGGATTATAGGCGTGCACTATCACGCCCGGCCTACAGTCAGTTTTTTTTAGACTATACCTGCTGTCCCCAATTTGATGGCCTCAGCATACTGGTGAATTTCAAAAACTGGTCTCAAGCCAGGTGTGGTGGCCTCTCAGGAGGCTGAGACGAGAGGCTTGCTGGGAGTTGGAGCAGCCTGGGTTACATAGTAAATTCAGGGCCGGCCTAGACCATAGTGAGACTCTTAACTCAGAAAAGCAAAAAGAAAGAAAGCAAAATAGTCTTAAACCTTTTACTGCTTTGCCATGCAGAAGTCTTAAGTGGCTCAGTTCTTTCCCCTACCCAGAAAAGTTAAATACTATTTTATCAAGTATCTGTCATACTAGACAGAAACAGCTTAAACACTGCCCATTTAAGTATTAAGGCTGACTACGCCAATTCATGGTTTCAGTGCAGCCTCCTAGGATACCACAATGATGTACTGAGGGCCTAGTTTTTCTAATTTTCTAGTTAATGTAAGATTGACAACAATAGCCTTGGGTTTATCTTTTAAAAGTGGTTTTAGGAAGCAGTCAGGACATTGTAAATCATACTTTGAGCGAACACTGTCCCTTTTCCAGCTTTACTGACCAGTGTGTGTGTGTGTGCCTGTGCGTGTGCGCATGCGCGTGTGTGTGTGTGTGTGTGTGTGTGTGTGTGTTTCTTTTCTTAGGAGTACCTTCCGCCAGGGGTTGGTGATCGGAAGTAAGCCTGTGGTTTACCCAGTGCTTCACTGGCTTCTTCAGAGGACCAATGAGCTGAAGAAAAGAGCGTATTTAGCCCGTTTCTTAATAAAACTTGAGGTACCGAGTGAGTTTCTTCAGGATGAGATTGTGGCTGACACCAGTAAACAGGTATAGCGTGCGTAACTGGCATTGTGAAACCACCTGTGATGGGTCTCAAGGTGGACATACTCAAACACCTTTTCATCTCTCTTTAATTGCCGTGTCTCGTTCCATGTCTCGTTCCAGACACCAGAAGGTACAACGGTTTCAGCTCATGGTCAGCCGTAGTCATACCTTCAAATAATGACTGTTGCGCACACGGCCCACTTTAGTGACAGGGTGTGCATAGCAGTAAACACCCTGAAATTAGAATATCTTTTTGCTTAGCAGTTGTGGGCAGGTAAGACCCTGGGCTTGAG